GAAGAAATGAAAAAGTCTATTGTTTATAAAATTAATTTTATAGCATGACAGGAGGATTCATATTTGCTTAAGTCTCTCTTTACTATAACTCCACAGCAGCACATTAACATAGAGAGATAAACACCAAAGACAAAAACATAAGGCATCTATATAAAGCTCCTCCTAAGCCACCATTTCCTCTTTCTTTGCTGCTCTGCAGACAGTACAGGTCAGAGTGCCACTGCCTCCTAATATTTTATGGATGGTTGTGTGTTTTACTGTATATAGCTTGTATTTGTTCTTGGGTATTGCATTACAGTTTTACTGTATTTCTTTTCTATTGTTTATGTACTTTTTACGTTTCTTTAGGGGATATTTCTTTGCAGCTTTTCCCTTATTTCTGCTTTGCCTCTTCTTCTCTTGAGTTTTGTTTTTCTGTGTGCTCGCGGTCGCCGAGAAGCGGTCTTCCGACCGCCACCCGTGCCGACCGCCGGGACCGCGGGGTAAGACTCCGGCGGTCCCTTGTGTTCCTGGTGTTGATTCCCGCCCGCCGGCTTCGTCCGCCGAGCGGGAATCCTTGCCTGGCTCCCTGCCCTACCCACGTTCCCGCTCGCCGGTTCGTTGTTTTACCCGAGTGGTGTGGAGGCAAAGCAGGGAGCTCTTCTGTCTTGCTGAGGGAGCCTCTGCTCCCGACCGCACTTTTCCCCGCAACCACGTGGTCGGACGCGGGGGTGCGCAGCTCGTTCCTGGGTCTCTGCCTATTTCAAGCGGCAGTGCCCGTTTTTTCTCTTCTAGTTGGTGTACTTCTTCTGTTCCACCCCTCTGTTTGGGGGGACATCTCTGCAGTTTCTGCTTTAACCTGGCATGTGCTTGTTCATTAATTTTGCATGCTACTGGACTATGCTGTACATACACATTACACTGCATGCCACCTATATGAGACCCTGCTTGACATCAGTGCCCTCTCATTGACCTAGAACTGGTTTGAGGACCCACCCCGTCTCTACCCTGCACGCCCTATATGTCTTTTTTACTGCATGTCTACAATAAGGATCTACATTTCTGCCTGCATACACCACTGGGTCGGTGCTGCCCGTACCCATTTACTGGCCTGCTTTGTCTGTGCCCCTTGATTGGCCTGCTTTGTCAGTGCCCCATGATTTGGCCTGCTCTGTCTGTGCCATATTACGCATGCTATTGGCCGGGTGGCTCCATACCTTGGATCCCCGTGTGTTGAGCCTGCATGCTTTTCTACTTGCCTCTGCCATTACTAGGGGTGCTACCCCTGCTGCCTGCTGGTGATAGGTATCACGTATCATCTCGGACATTATGGAAGCATCTGCACAGGAGCAGAATTTGCAGGCACTAATTAATGCTGCGGTGGCCGCCTCGGTGGAGAAAGCCCTGGCTAGGGCCCTCCCTTAACCGCAAGCGAACAGGGGTGCGAGAGGAAGCCCCCTTTTGGCAGACGACTCGGCTGAGTCAGACTCTCAGGAACGAGAGCAGGCAAGTGCGCAAATGCGCTATTGGAAGGGTGAAGGCCCTGAACCTCGCTCCCGGAAGGGCAAGGCTCTGGTGAAGCGACAAGGTTCGAGGTTATCAACCTCTCCGGCCAGTCGCCGCCGTCTATCGGGCGCAGGGGAGGAGGCCTCCTTACCCCCCCTACTATGGCCGTGCTGGATGAGTGGCGGGCAGACCAATCTCCCTCAGAAGAAGGGGATGATTGGGAGGAGGACCGTGGGGATGGTCCCGGTTGGCGCTGGGAGGATGAAGACGCGCCAGGGACAGAGGCCCCCTCGGCGGTGCCGGGAGACGACACCTTTCTCAATGCTACGGGAGAACCCCTGTTTGACCCTCGGTCTATCCGACACCCCAGGTCCTCAGAATTTCGTTCACTAATCAGTGTTTTTCGACTCTGTTTATTTCGTTTCAGTTTAATGGTTGGACTACAGTTCAAGGAATCGATGGCTTTGCAGGATGAAGCTCGAGATAACTTCCATTCTCCGAAATTTCTTCAGGATGTTATTCCTTGTTATGTTATATATTTTTTCATTTAATTGGTTTACTGGCATTGTTGTGTAGTTGTGTTGTCGCAGCGTGAAAGAAGAAATGGTGGCTTAGGAGGAGCTTTATATAGATGCCTTATGTTTTTGTCTTTGGTGTTTATCTCTCTATGTTAATGTGCTGCTGTGGAGTTATAGTAAAGAGAGACTTAAGCAAATATTCGCCTCCTGTCATTAATAAAATTAAGATTATAGTTACACTTAAGCTAGTATAATCTACAATTTATTGTTAAACTTTATTATTGTACAATTACTGTTCATATACATTATTGCGTTTGTTATTAAAACGGATGGAGACCCTTACCTTTCCTACCCCAAATAGAATGTTTGCATAATTTGTTGAAACATTTCTAAAACTTTAATAAAAACTAATTTAAAAGAATATCTTCTTTATATTCTACCGAGTATGTCAGGAAGCTGTTCGTTGCTCCCAGCAAGCACTTCTTGTCAGACTGGTTAGAGGATTCAGAAGATCCCCTATCAGCAGTCCTAGTGGCCATGCTACAAGAAGTATGATGTTTTTTACCACGTGCCTAATCAGGTCAGTATAATGCAGCTGGAATGGCTCAGAACAAGGTATAAAAGCCCACATATATCGTCAGACAGTGCTCAGATATTCTGCTCCACCTGTCTCTGGAGCCAAGTATCATTCTGTTCTTTTCTCCTGTTCCAGCTCCTGATCCTGCACCTGCATCAGTTACTGTTCCTGCACCCGTTCCAGCTTCCACTCGCTCTGTATTTCATTCCTGGATTCAGACCTGCCCCATCTTTTAGATCACTGACTTTCTGGCTTGGTTATTTGGATAAAACTGAATACTACCATATACTTCCCAAGTGTCCCAATTCAGAAACAACAGTCCCTATTTTTAGCCCAAATCCCTCCATCCCCCCTTTCTACCATGATGTCCTTCTTTTCTAGGAGCTCCATATTCTTGGTGTGTCTGAGTGTATTACAGAGCTCCTCAGCAATAATACTCCCAGTAATGTGTCTTTAAACTACAATTAATGTGTTTAGAAGCCAGTCTGTGGAAATATGACACATTGTTCTTGGTCTAAATTACATTTTAATTGAATAATTTATTAGTAAGCCAACTAAAATTTCCAAGAACAGCCCTGCTGCTGGCCACACCCTTCTTTGTTACTTTTCTCCTTCAATTAGTCATTATCCAGATAACATTGATCTTGCATTATTCTAATTAAACGCTTCCCATTTGTACTGTAACTATTTTTGTGCATTACTTTGTAATGCATACATTTATGTAAAAAAAAAATAAAAAAATCACTTTTGAAATGTACAAAAATGATTTATTTACTGGTGAGACAGTGCTGAAGACTCATTTTACCACAATCGATATAATACATACCTACCAACGGTCCCGCTATTGGTGGGACAGTACTGATTTTGGGGTGCTGTCTTGCTTCTGTTCAGCAGCCCTGCCAAGCCTAGAGGCTTGGGACCGGCCAGGCTGCCTGTCAGGTGGTAAACTGCACCTTTTTGGGCTAATATGAGCCTTTTGGACGAGACCACCCCTTTTCAGGGCTGTTCGCCTAGCTGGCGATGCCCCCTTAGGACTCCACCCATCCAGATTTGAAGAGGAGCAATGTTGGGAGGTATGGAATGAGATGTAAATATGGCTTGACAAAGACCTTCGCATGATGAAATGTTGCTGGGTCCCCTCCTGGTGGAATAAAATTCTGTCAACATAAGTCTGGTGGCTTTTTTAATACACTGCACGTTACTTCAGTCAAGAAAACAGGTTCACCAGGCCTAAGCCAGAAAACCTCTGGATCCAACCTATGATGCTACAATATGAATATCTGCAAGATGTTGATCCATTTAGAAATAAACCAAATTTGTACATAGAATCATGTCTGCTTTTGTGATTGGGTCATATTGCAGTTGAAGACATCCTACTGTCTATGTTGCGAAACTTTGCTCTATATATGTTGCTGACTGCTTGTCTGTGAGTGACTTAGATGAAATGTATCATGCATGGGGTCATATGGGTGGCACTATTCCAGGCTGTCTGAGTGTGGTAGCCTCAGTCCTATTAGATATGATTTAGTTCTGATAAAACTGTGTTCTGTTTTACAGAGAAGGAAGTGGTTAGCTGAGAATAACTAACATGACTGCTGCTGTTATATTATTAAAAGAAGTAGTCATGATTTAATTGAACTATTGCATTGTATAAACTGTGAAATATAAATACATCAATAGAAGCGATCTGGAACCCACATCCAAGTTAAGCTCATGGTATACATGGACATCACCAGAAAACATGGATACAACACAATAATTAAGAGATGGCTAGCACCAAAGATGGTCAAAAATGAGTGTAATTTTGTTAATTCATTAAAGGACACTCAAGGCACCATTTCAACTTTAAAGAGTTACTCCAAGCACCGTGACTACTTCAGTGGTTTTTAAGTGGTAATGGTGCTTGAAGTCAGTATGTGTAGCATTTCAATTTGAAATGCTGAATAGAAAAAAATGTATGCATATTTGGTGTCTGTCTTCAGCATGCATAGTATGCTGGTGACAGATATCCAATGACGCACGTCCCACCCTCTCTGTGCCCCCGAAGTCCTCCACTCAGCCTGTCCTCTGGAATTTTCGCTCCCCCTCCTGTGAGGTGGAGGAAGTGATATCAGCTTGGATGAACAGGCTGCAGGGAGAAATTGGCCTCTACATGGGATCTAAGGTAAGTTTTTGCTTTCTCTCTTTCTGGTTTATTTAAAAAATAAAATAAATTGGGGGGCGGAGCCTGACCGCGAGCTGTGATGGCCGCATAGCGCGAAAGCTCCCGCCGACGGGCATAATCATTTAGCCACAAACCCAACCACAATCGGTGCACGGACCCCCAGAGGCGCAGCACACATCCCGGAATACCCACAGTCACAAGCGGACATGGGGGGGGGGCGGAAAAAGCATGAGCAGCCGCCATCCGTGGCCCCTTTGTTCCGGCAACCACGAGGCCAGACGCCATCTTCCCCACAACAGCGGGAAGACTCTGCATCCGACTCAGACCGCAGTGAGGCAGCAGGCTCAGCTTCCACACCGATCACCAAGAGGGACCTGCAACTACTGCTGCAAGAAGCTGCAGCAGATATAAAGACACATATGGCGGCAGAAATTGGAAAACAGCTGCAACTCCTGAAGGCTGACCTGGCTGACCTGGGGGAGAGGACAGGGCAGGTGGAGCAGAGGGCAGATGAACTCCTTGAAAACCTCAATATGCACCAAGCTGAGCTCACTACACTGAGGAACAAAGTGGAAGAATTAGAGACAGGTATGGAAGACTTAAATAATCGCTCTAGGCGTAACAACATAAGGATTAGAGGCCTCCCCGAAACAGTCACGCCTGATATGCTGCTCTCCACGCTGCGTGAATTGTTTCTTACAATCCTTCCAGAGGCAACGCCACAAGACCTCGCCATAGACCGGGCGCACAGAGCCCTCAAACCCCCTAGCCAAAACCAAATAGCGCCCCGAGACGTCATAGTACGCCTTCACTACTTTACCTTTAAAGAAGCCATCATGGCGGCCACACGAAAAACTCCGCCAAAATTTGACGCCATCACTCTTCAGTTTTACCAAGACGTCTCACCTACCACATTAATGAAACGCAGAGAGCTCAAACCCCTAACCAGCGCACTGGCACAAGCCAACATACCATACCGATGGGGACACCCCTTCAAGCTACTAGTCCGCCAACATGATAGTACCCACGTCCTGCAAGATACCTCAAAAATGGCGCCCTTCGCTGCCGCACTGGGCATCAGCCTACCCGAAGCATGAGCGCAATCCAGAAAACCAGCGGACAACGCCAGACCACAAAGGACGCCACTCTGGGAAAAACTTCGGACACCCCGGAGCCGACCACCCAAGCGCCAGCAGCAGACATCGCTGCAGATTCGCGACCGGGACACCTGAATGGCATGGAACCAGTCCACCATGGACTCAACCACTCTCAGGCAGAGACTATCCTAAGAGACTTAAAGGGACTTCCAAACTTTTTGATCTAATTCTGAGTGCAGGAACGCACACCACCATATCCTTTTACACTGAGTTTTATGGCGCTACTTTAGCCATGGTTTACGAAGGTCTTAGGGGACACAAAATAGTTACGGGGACGACACTACAGGGCGCTGACAAGGGCCTAAAGCGAGGGAAAAAAGGGGGGGGAAGGTAAGGCACTAGAGCATCTGGGGACGAAAGGGGGGGAAGGAAAGGAGAGGAGGTATACACGGGATGGGAAGGATGGGGGGGGCAAGGGGGAGGTACGTACCATTGGCGAATCTCACTAAATGAGACAGGAAGCCCTGGTGGCTCCCCCAGGAACGCAGCTATGTTTGATCACCAGCACATACCCACTAGACCCGATAGAGAAGGCCCAGAGCGAACCCACCCCGGGGCACTGATTACAGCCCGCCTATGCCCAGAGCGGGAAGCACACGGAGACCGCACTGTGCAATGCACCACTCAGCACAGTACGGGGGTCACGAGACCCACCCAGGTGGGGACGACTCCACACACCCCACTCCATTCGGCCTGGCGCAAACCATAAGACCAGGCGTTTGTTTTTTCTGTTTTATTTGGTTTTCAATGTTAATCCTAGTTCAATGGTTTGAATTGGTCTCAGCAGGAGGAAACATGACGGACACAACATTTAGACATACGGGACACAGTCTACCACTGGGGGGAGGTAATAGCGAACCACACTCCACCACACAACCATGACAGCTAACCTGACGTGCATCTCAATCAACTGCAAAGGGCTGAATAACCCCGCCAAACGACACCGACTCATGAGATGGGCAAACCGCAGCAAAGCGGATATACTCCTACTACAGGAGGAGAGACTATGCAGACACACGGCCTTTCCCTCTCCTGAGCCGCCACTTCCAGGCTTGCTACTTCGCCAACTCCAACTCAGGCAAACACAATGGAGTGGCGATTCTCCTAAGGAAAACTTGCCCCCTCCAGATTGCCACCACACACAGGGACCCCAACGGCCGCTTCCTTACGGTGGCGGGCACAATAGGCCCAACCAAATATGCGATCACCTCGGTCTATGGCCCCACAACCCCGGACCCGGGATTCTGGCCTACTCTACGTGCAAATCTCAGCTTACACCCAAACCCCCACCAGATTATAGGCGGGGATTTCAACGCCGCGATCGAGCCACAGGCAGATAGACTCAAACGACCACCACAGACTCCAGCACCGACCAGAAACGACAAACTCATGGCAGACTTCATTTCCACTACCAAACTGATAGATGTATGGAGACTGCAACACCCCTCCACACTAGACTACACCTTTTATTCCCACCCACACCAAACCTACTCACGTATAGACTACTTCCTGGTTTCCCCGTCACTACTTCCACTCATAACAACGACTTCCATAGGCAACATAACGTGGTCCGACCACGCTGAGGTAGCAATCACGTTCCAGCCCCCACGAATCTCCAGACCCTGGTCCTGGAGACTTAACCCGACACTACTCAACGACCCACAAACGGTACAACAAATCACAACAGAACTCAAACATTACTTCGCTCCAAACAAGGATACAGTACAATCCAACGCAATCATATGGGCTGCTCACAAAACGGTGATCAGGGGTACCCTTATTAGCTTAGCCACAGCACACAAAAAAAGACGCCTCACTCACATAGAGAAAATACTAGCGGCCATCAGGGACCTTGAATCCCTACATAAAGTTACCCCCACCCCGGACCTCACTACACAACTCCAACACCAACGACAGGCCCTCCACAATGCAATGGCAGTGGACGCCACCAGGGCTCTACAATGGACACAACAAAAGTTCTACGAAAAGTCCAATAAAGCGGATACACTCCTGGCCCGCAGGCTGCGCAAGCGCATCCAGGCCAAGCAGATAACACGCATACGCACACCATCGGGCCATGACACAGAGGTACCAACCAAAATTGCGGAGGTATTCCAACACTATTTTGCAGACCTATATGACCACTCCCCCCACCATAGGCAACGGACCGCCACCCTACAGGACCGTATCCAAACCTTTTTAGACCGAACCCACTTGCCCACACTATCAGATAGCGCGATCACCCAACTCTCCATGGAGATCACAGAGCAAGAAATTGCGACGGCTATAGGGGCCACCAAACCCAACAAAAGCCCAGGACCGGACGGATATCCGGGCATATATTACAAAACATTCCGGGACACTCTCCTACCCCACCTAGTACAACTATACAACACCCTGCTGCAGGGAAACCCGCTCCCCACCAAAGACATGCTGCAAGCCAACATTTGCCTTCTACCCAAACCCAACAAACCCCTCTCAGACCCAGGCCACTATCGACCAATATCCCTAATGAATGTAGATATCAAACTGTTCACGAAAATACTCTCCAATAGGCTGCTACCACATATCACATCATTAATCCACCCGGACCAGGTGGGCTTCATCCCCACTCGCCAAGCTAGTGACAATACCAGGAGGATGCTAGACCTGATCTGGGTGGCCACCCAGCGCTCCATTCCAATGCTACTCCTATCCCTGGACGCCAAAAAGGCGTTTGATAGGTTACTATGGCCATTTCTCTTTGCCACTCTGGAGAAACTCAGATTCCCCAAACCATTTCAAGACGCCCTGCGAATGATCTATTCTAATCCTACTGCCAACCTACTCATACCAAACACGAACCCCCCCTCGTTCTCCATCTACAATGGCACGAGGCAGGGCTGTCCCCTATCCCCCATCCTGTTCGCCCTCTCACTTGAACCGCTACTGCATCTTATCCGCACCACTCCCCAGATCACAGGCATCAAAATCCGCACACAAACATACAAGGCTGCGGCATACGCCGATGACCTGATGCTGTCATTCACAGATCCGCAGAACGCACTCCCACCTCTCCTCAAACTCATAGACGACTACTCAGAGGTATCGGGATACAAATTAAATTTCGATAAAACTGAAGCACTCATGCTGACAATACCAGACAATCAAAGACAGACACTACGGACCACATATGCTTTCAATTATAAGGCCTCACACATATCGTACCTAGGGATCACCCTACCAGCGGAACTACAGCGCACATACGCACTAAACTACTCACCGCTGATCCAGAAAATCACAGAAGACCTGCAGAGATGGAGGGACTTGTCTTTGTCGTGGCTGGGACGCCTAGCCTCGGTAAAGATGAATCTTCTACCAAGACTGCTCTATCTTTTTCAAACCCTCCCCATCCCCATCCCCACCTCGGACTTCAAATACTTACAGTCGCACATCGACAAATTCATCTGGTCGAATAAACGACCGAGAGTGAAAAGGGCGACCATGTACATCCCCAACAGGACGGGAGGCCTGGGCCTACCCCACTTACAACACTATTACCACGCGACGCAAGCCACACAGATACAACATCTACACACCCCACCGGGGACGAAGCGCTGGGTGGACTTAGAACACGACATATTTGGCTTCGACCTCCCCTCATTGTACATATGGGTCCCACGGAACTCCCGGCCCATGCCACCGCCCATACCCCCGACATTAGCTAATTCTATCAGCACCTGGGATAAGCTTACCTAAAAAATCCCTATCATCAACAACCCATCACCACTGACACCCATACTGCGCAATTAAGCATTTAGCCCAGGAATGAACCAAAAAGATTTTGCACACTATGAACACAACGACCTTTATAGAATATGCCACTTCTTTGAGGGAGGAAAACTAATGCAATACAAAGACCTTCCCCAACAACACTCACCATACAACACACATGACTTTTTCAGATACATACAACTAAAGAGCTTTCTGGAACTCCCTGAAAATAGGATAGCAGCCACCAACAGATGCACAACTTTTGAACGAGCATGCATATATAACCCTGCCCGTAAGGGCCAGATCACTGATAACTATAGCCTGCTCATCTCTACTCATGCCCCAGGAGCGATGGCATATGTGGCGGCTTGGGAGAGGGACCTGGGGCCACCGGGAAACCCGACTGACTGGCAGGACATATGGGAGGCCACAGCATCTATCTCTATCTGTGTCAACCACAAAGAGCAGGCCTATAAAACTCTACTACGATGGTATCTAACCCCCGCAAGACTATACCGAATGGGTAGGACCGACTCGGACCTCTGCTGGAAGCGGTGTGGGCAAAGGGGAACATACATACACCAATCGTGGCAATGCCCAAAACTAGCACCGCTTTGGGCGAAGGGGGCCCGCCTGGTCTCCAGCTTACTCCACACAGATATACCCTTAGACCCATGGATCTGGCTCCTATCCAAACCCTGGGAACCTTTAACCAGAGCCCAAAACAAATTAGCAAACAGAACAGCTCTGGCTACAAGGAGGGCGATAGCAGAACTCTGGGGCTCCCCGGAGGTCCCCACTCTAGCTACAATCATCCGCAAAACCAGGGAAGTCATTGAAATGGACAGAATCTCAGCCCTAGTCCACGAAACGTCAGGCCACTTTCACAAAATTTGGGACCCGTGGCTGAGCGAGCCGGCGCTGATGTCGTCGAACCTGGCTACGCCGCAGGCCCAATAAATGGCCAACAGAGGCATAACGGGGTGGGGAGATCAGGGGGTGAAACCCAAACGCAAAACAAACAGGGGAGAACCCACAGGGGACCACAACCGCAACTCAGGGGGGCCAACCCACAACAGACTCCAGCAGACACCCAAAACCATAGCACAGAAACACTAAAACTTCCCGCGAGCATAACACCCAACCACTGAGACCAAAGGTTGACTATGTTTATACTTGATTGTATATTTTTGTATGTTTTTATGTCGGTATTTAAGTTTCGTGGTATAATATGGATTTACCATTGTGCGACCTATCAACATCCAACTAATGCAACAGCAAAGCTGGAAACTAGCTAGACAAACTGTCTACTTAAATAACAATGTCAAACATGTTATATCATAAGACAAATGTATGCACCATGGTTGCAAAATGCTTCTGAAAAAGTGAAAATAAATAAAGAATGTTTAAAAAAAAAAAAAAAAAAAATTATTTACAGGGGCAACCATGACAGCAAGACTTACTCCATCCAAAAATAGTGTTTTATTAAAACACTGTTTTTAGTTGAAGTAACCTTTTAATGCATTTGATAGGTTTTGCATGCCACCTCATTCCATAAAGACTTCATTATCAATGTATGTAAAGATTTCTGTCGCTAACAGCATTAACTGAGTTTCTTATAATTTACATAAAAAACAATCAGAAGAGAGGGTCAGCGCTGATATGTCACGGAAATGTAGCTTAGTAGAATATAGGCAGCACACCTATAAGGAGAAGGGTCCCCTCTAGTCCCCACAGGCTAAGTATAGTAAGAGAGACAGAAGAGAAAAGGGTGCGCCTAAAAACAGATAGTGTAAATAATACTTATATTTATATATGGAAGTCCAAGTAATTCAGCAATAGTCCAAAATTAAGGTAATTCACGACAGTAGGAAGGAATCTTTGTGGAATAGCAGGTAGGGCGTATCGTCACGGTTGAAGACTGATTATCCAGTTGTACATGTAAGGGAGAAGCAGAAGAGAGAGAAAACTCCAATGGTACAGTATATAAGTATACTAGATACTAGGATATTATAAAGGAACTACTCACAATATCCAGAGCTTAAATCCAGCTCTGGTTTGAAGTGCATGAAGTGGAATAATCCCCACTCAAGGATATGTAGAGTCTCTCTGTTTTTCGGTTGTATACTTTGGCAGAATAGTCCAGGGTATATTGAGCAGGCTCACTGCTCTATGTGTAGCGTATGGGTGGTACAATCCCCACCTAAGGATGCTTAATGCTTCTTATAGATAATAAAACAATAACATCAGGTCAGGATATAAAAATAACGTAAATAATAGAGTAAAATATAAATAAATAAACAAAAATAGATAAAATAATAAAGTGAAAAGGGAATATGGCAACAATTTTGAATATAGCCAAAACAGCGGCCCTCGACCGGCAGAGTGCACTGAACCCAGGGTGAGGATTGCTCGACGAGTATTAGTCCCCTGGTGAAGAAATCTTCAATGCTGAAGTTGAGGCCTACTCCGGCGGTGAGTGGTGCGGACGGCCACCACCCCAAAAAAATTTAAAAACGAAAGTTAGGAACGATAAATATTAAATAAGAAGTTAGTCATGTGACGTGCGGCTAATTACTTCAAAATCTCGGGAGGGGCACTTTAGTGGGCTGGAGCGGGGTGAAAAGGGGACTCTTGTTTAGGGGATAGGAGACTGTACACATATGCGGCCACACACAGTGATATGGAAACACAATAACACACTGACACAAACATACCTTCAGACACATACACTGGCACACCCACAGATACAAACCTATACCTAAACAGGCACACACACAGATACACACACACACACACACATACCTACACACACAGATAAACATACACTGGCACACAAATACACACACATACCTGCACATAAAGACACTGGCACATAGATACACACATACACACTGACGCATACGCACACACACATATCCCTACACATACACAAAATGACACACATACCTTCACATACACACAGATACAAGGCAATAGAATATACAAGCAAAACTCCAGGTACTGAAGTTGTATTTATTGGAGGGTAGAATAACTTAAAAGTGCAAACGTGCGACGTTTCGGCCCTTGGGGGCCTTAATCATGTTTAAGTCCCTCTAGGGCTGAAAAGTTGCACTTTTATGTGGTGTTCTACCCTCCAATAAATACACCGTCAGTACCTGGAGTGTTGCCTGTATATTCTATTACCTTGTATTGTTGGACGGATTAGCAGTGTCTATCTAATGCAGAGCTCCTCTGAGGCTGTGGGCCGGAGTGAAAAGCGGAACCTGAGTGCAGCAGACTACTTTGTCTGTGGTACACACAGATACACAAGCTTACATATTTACAGATACACATTAACACTCACAGATGCACACACATACTCACAGATACACATTGACACTCACAGATACACACTGACACTCACAGATGTCCACATACCTAAACATACACACACAGATGTCCACATACGTTTTTGGGAGGGACTTATCCAGCTTGAAACATGCACTGTTGGGTGTTCTCCCTTATAATGGGAACACTCGTACTTAAATCGACAGCTATACCACCTACACAGTGGCTCTCATTACAGAGCCAACAGATGCCATTCTTGTGACCTGCTGACACTCCTGCATGGAGCGCCGGTGGAAAGTGGTTGGGCTACACGGATTTATAAGTAGCAACCAAAGGTAACCATCCTGTACTTCAAAATCCATTTGAGCTCAAATCGCCATTTTATTTTATTTTTTTCCCCCACACTGCTAGTCATACAGATCAAGCACTGACCTCCATATACCTTACAGATACCCCAAATGAGGTCCAAATAGTAAACAGTGCCCTCTCAGGAAACCTACTACTCAAAATACTTGCAAATGTTACAAAGACTCCCTGTAGCAAAACACTTTTTGGCCCATGGCCACACGTTACCCACCCTGAAATTTATGGCTATAGACCATATACCCCCCCTCAGACGTGGGGGTGATCGAAGTAAACTTCTTCTACAACGTGAAACGTTCTGGATAAAAACTCTGGACACAGTATATCCCAGAGGCTTGAACGAGAAGTACACATTATCTATGTTTCTATAGTACATTTTTTTGTTTCCCTGTAGGAGTTAAATACACTGTTTAATCTAATCCAATAATCCTAAACATATTTGTTTATACAGCAATGTGTATAAATTGTCTTGTTGCTATAATTTGATTTATGCTCCCCCTGCATACATTGCATATCATTCCATTGCTTATTCCATGCATGGTAATTAGGCTATTACACATAGTTTGGCCACACATACTAATCATATAGGGGTTAAATACCCTACTAGACCACCATACTCCAATGCTGTGTGCTATGTACCTAAGAGATTACACTACTCATGTCACATCTTGTATATAATCATAAATAACTATGCAGGGGACACTATGCAATTCAACACTGGTCATTTTGTCTGTCCATATTATTTATTAAACTTTAGTACCCTATGCATAATCAATGTATTAACATGGTAACACCTCCTGCATTGAGCTGTTGTTTTTATTTTTAATTTTAAAATCATGTATGTCTATATTAAATGTGTTTTTTAGATCCGAACCATGAGATATGCCCACCCTATTTGCTACAAGTTTAAGAATAGACTTATAGTTCAGCTCTTTCCTCAGTTACACAGGAACAGATACACCCTTTCAGTGCTGCATTGGATGAATTGCTCCAGCACTCAAAGAGTGAATTTCCAGTATGATAACAGATTTTGGATTCCTGATGGCCCTTCCAGCCTGTTATACTGTTTAAATATATGAAGACAGTCAGATTCATTTTTGAAACATTCTAGACTCTGTATCCACTCCTACTTTACCCTGAGCTCAATCATGTTTGTAGCTACTAGGACACAAAGTGGAAAGCAACCAGTCCAGTTGGATTGTTACTTAGTAACCTGTAGCCCCGCCCCTTTTCTGGGCCTTGCACACATGGCCACCACACTCAGAGTTACATTACTCTCTAATGCAGGGCAAGCTGTCTCATGGCTAGGTGAGTACACAATTAAGGTAAATTATTTTGAGGGATTGGGGGTATATATTTCTTTGTGTCTGCACTTGTAAGTTATGTTTTGTCCTGATGAAAGCTCCATGTGGGAGCTGAAACGTTGACTTTTTAAATGGATTGAATAAAAGCTAAATTTTATTTGAAAATCTCTATAAAGTCCTTGGAGTGCGGTCATTTCTGCTATGTCTACATGATCCTTGCCAGACCAGCACCGGGCACCACAGGATTACACCAGGAGTGCAAGCCTTCGCTATTTGTGTAATACGACTCTATTGGCAGGAGCCTTGCTTTGCA